TAGCTTTAACCATTAAGGTTGCACACGCGACGGAAGCTTAAAAAATGGAGTAACTTCTCCCGTTTTCCCAACATTTCCTTCCTTTCCTATTGATTGTAGCGTGATGAAAAGTATACTTTAACCAGCTCAGGAGTATGAAAAATAATTGTACCAAGTTTCGTTAAAATCCGTCGAGTAGTTTTTGTTTCTATAACGGTTATACAGACAGACAGACAGACAGACAGACAGACAGACAGACAGACAGACAGACAGACAGACAGACAAAAATTTTACTGATTGCATTTTGGCATCAGTATCGATCCCTAATCACCCCCTGATAGTTATTTTGGAAATATATTTCATGTACAGAATTGACCTCTCTACAGATTTATTATAAGTAATATATAGATAATAAACTACCTAATTGTCCCTTCAATCATTATGCGATCGATCTACAATATTTTATTATAACTAACTTTTATTTTTTCATCACAGATATTGCTTCATTGAATTTATTATGTATACATATAATAAAAGTGTAACTGATCGTCTGTACATGGAAGATATTTGAAAAAAAATATCATTGGGGGTCTTTACTTACGCAATAGAACCCAAAACATTGATTTTTACAATTTTTGTCTATTTGTCGGTTAATCTTTTTGTCTGTGCGTTTGTGCGCGTTAATCTCAGAAACCGCTTAACCGATTAGGATGCGATTTTCACTAATATATTGTGGTAAGCTTTACTTAATATTAGTATTAGTTTTATTTCAATCAGTTTATACATAAATAAGTTACATCACTTTAAAGAATCACCTAGGTGAGTCGCTAGTTTCTTACTAAAAATAGAAAATAATTTTGATTCGAAATTAAGTGCTTAGTTAGAAAAGCTTCTAGCGATGTTATTAGAAATAGCCGCTTAATTAAAATGTATGATATAGTTTATCGAAATAGAAACAAATCAAACTAAAGTATACTCGGGAAACTCTGATTCTGTATCTAAATTTGTCAAAACAACATATTGCTTTTGTTAAAAGCGTTTGTTATTGTTAATTTTGCACCTTAAGGTAGAGAAAGCTCAAGATGTTAAAGTAGTTGAAATAACAGTTACAGCTTATGAATATTTGAGGTTATCTAACTTCTCGAACTTTTAGTTTTAAAAGAAACAAAACCACTGGCGCAGAAAATGATGTTATATTTACAGGTGTTCATTAATACTTCATTTATAGAATATAAATTATATTATTAAATTCCGGCCACGGCGGCCAATGTCATTGAGACTAGCCAACTGCGCAGGAGATATTATAGTGCAGTTAAACTGCCTCGGTGGTGTAGTGGCTAGCATGTACGGCTGCACACCCGGAGGTCCTGGGTTCGAGCCCCGGGTCGGGCAAAGTTTAGTTATTGAGTCTTTCTCTATACTAAGCCTCAGTAACAGCCCGGAGCTGGGAAGTTGGCGGTGTTTCACCCCCGTGTCTCGGAGAGCACGTAAAGCCATCGGTCCTGCGCCTTAACTCTCACTGGTCGTGTCAAGTGGTCGTCCCACCAGAGTATGAGAGTGACAGGAATATAGAATGCAAGTTGTGTCTGCGCGCACACTTGTGCACTATAATATCTCCTGCGCAGTTGGCTAGTCTTAATGAGATTGGCCGCCGTGGCCGGAATTGGCTAGGAGAACATCATATATTATTAGTAACTATACTAGTATGTTGGCCCTGCAGCCTGGGTCTTGAATAAGGCTGCGGTAACTCCTGCCTGTCGTAGGAGGCGACTAAACGGAGTCTCGGCGGGAAAGGCAAACCTCAGCAGATATGCTACTGGTGTTGGCGGACCCGGCGAAATAAAAGGCAAGGTGGATGGCCATGAGGGCGGCGGTAGTTAGCATAGCTGCTATCGTCGGCCAGACACATCATCCAAACCCTTCTCTAGTCGTAGCGGTCTCCCGTTCCATTAGATCAAGAAGGGGGAGGACGAGTGTGTGCGCCTGCGTCTGCGCGTACGCTTGTGCACCTAAATATCTCCTGCGCATTTGACCGTTTCCGAATACTGGACTCCGAGGACAAAAAGTCCTATGGCGATAGGACAAGGTAGAGAGGTCTGGTCTGATGCAAACCGGACTTTGTCCGAGTCCTGCACATAGGCGGCCCCAGGGGTGTTGTATTACACCGTGGTCGCTTTTGCACTGCAATTGGGAATGACAGTGTGAATTCGGCAGCACCTGGGATGACAAAGCAGCCCTATTTAGGGAGACACTGCTTTCCTCGCTCAGCCGAGGAGGGGGCTAGAAAAGGTGCCCTAAAAATTGTTCATTCCCATTCGAAAGGTGGTAGTAACCGCGGCTGCCATCGCATTCCCTTATACGCGGTCGAAAACTAAAAAATAAAAACAACATGCAAACATCTATCATGACGTTTGGTGCGTGGAACGTGAGGACACTGCTTGACCAAGATGATTGCCATCTTGGTCAAGCAGTGTTACTGCCATCAGACAGCAACAGAACAATCGGGCGGTTGGTATCGACTGTATACCGGGAGAGTTGCTGAAATATGGCGGTAAGGAATTGCATACGTTGGTGTGGGAGCACTTTGTTCGTATGTGGGAAGAGGAGAAAGTTCCGGATACTTTCAAAGTATCTAGCATAATTGCCCTCTATAAAAACAAAGGCGACCGTTCCCTTTGCGATTCCCATCGAGGTATTTCTCTTTTGTCGGCCCCCGGTAAGGTCTTTGCCAGAGTTCTTTTAAACCGCCTCAGGGGTCTGTCTGAAAGGATTCTACTGGAGACCCAGTTTGGCTTCCGTCCTGACCGAGGCACATGCGAGGCAATCTTTTCCGTTCGGCAACTGCAAGAAAAAAGCAGAGAACAAGGTCGTCATCTATACCTCTGCTTTGTCGACTTGGAAAAAGCTTTCGATAGTGTGCCCCGGGAAGCCCTCTGGCTAGTGCTGCGAAAACTGGGGTGCTTGGACAAGTTTGTGAGACTTTTAAGACTCCTGCACGACGATATGCAGTGCTGCGTCGCTCTAGACGGTGAACAGTCGGAGTTTTTCCCCGTTACCTGTGGGGTAAAACAAGGGTGTGTTTTAGCACCCACGCTGTTCGCGTTGTACTTTGCAGTAGTAGTCCGGGAAGTTCTGCAAACTTCGGTTGAAGGTGTCCGCATCCGTTTTCGCACAAATGGTAGAATTTTCAATTTGGCTAGATTGAAAGCGTGTACCAAAGTGTCTTACGCCATGATCACAGAGATCATGTATGCCGATGACCTTTGCTTTTTAGCGGAAACCCCAGATGGACTTCAGCAGCTGATGTCGCGTTTTCATCAGGCTTGCTGCAAATTTGGCCTAAAGATTAATGTCAAAAAGACGGAGGTGATGTCCACAGACATGCATGGTCATGAGACATTGTCAATAAAGCTTGGTGAGGATGTGCTTCAGCAAGTTGATAAGTTCTGTTATCTGGGGAGCACTATAACATCTAAGTGTGACCTTGATGCTGAGATCAATAGCAGGATCGGTACTGCTGCAGCAGTGTTCGGAAAACTATGTTCCAAGGTCTTCCGCTCACACGACCTTAAACTAGCCACTAAGGTATCTGTCTACATGGCGATAGTGCTGCCAAACCTTCTATATTCCTCTGAGACGTGGTGCGTGTACCGTCACCACATTCGCACACTAGACAGGTTCCATCTCAAATGCCTGCGCAGTATCATGAAGATCAGCTGGTCTGATCGAGTGCGAAATACCGAAGTTCTGCGTCGAGCCAATGTCGGTGGCATTGAGACATACTTAATGCGTCGCCAGCTTCGGTGGTGCGGACACGTCTCGCGAATGTCGGAGGATCGAGTGGCGAAGCGCATCTTTTATTCAGAACTGCAGGAGGGTAAGCGAAAACCAGGCGGCCAACTCCTCAGATACAAAGATGTTCTGAAGCGGCATATGAAAAGATGCAACATTGAACCCTCGAAGTGGGAAGGTTTGGCGGCACAGCACCCTGAATGGCGTAGCCTTGTTCTGAGGCAGGTTCGCGTCTTCGAGGATCAGCGCAAAACTGACCTCGATGCTAAGCGCGATGACTTAAAGGCTCGACCACCTGCAGCCATTCAGTATAATTATGTTGATGGTAAACTCACGTGCGCCTGGTGCGCACGGGAGTTTAATAAGAAGATCGGCTACATTAGCCACCTTCGCGCGCATCAGCGCCGGGACAACTAGGAGTTGAAGTGGTCGCCAAGACCGAAAACGGTCGGAACAAACACACACACACTAGTATGTATGTATGTTAAAATTTTTTTTAGATATGTACTGTAAAAAGGGTAATGTAACGATTTTCACTTGAAACTATACTCAGATGAGTAAAAAACAAAAATTATCTATAGGTACTGTTGGGATACCTAAGATAAAAGATGATATGGTATGGTATGTGTTTTTTTTTATTCATAAAATAACTATTGAAAAGTGCAAATATAGATGGTAAATTCAAAGTAGTTGAAACGCACGCCATTGGTTAGACCGAATATGACGTCAAAGTATTATCATAACAGAGTGATTAGCGATTTTGTTGCTACAAATTGGGTCGTCATTTTTCTGTGTATATCATACTGTGATGTCATGCCAAGCGCGCGAATAACCAAGCCAAGATGACGGGCGCTTAAAATATCCGTATCGATTTTAATTTTTTTTATTCTAAATTTTAGTTCTTTTGGAGCAGGATATTTTTTTACAATTACATATATAACGTTGTTAGCTATTGTATAAAAAAATAAAAAAAACACGCATATCCCCTATTAACGGTTAGCTTTCACACGGTTATGCTGTCGAATAGATTTGCTAGCTATCGATATATTACCGTTCTAAATTCACTTATAGGAATACTTAAATTAGTATCCACTTTCATTTAAATCGAATTTGAGTTTTTATATATATAAGAAGACGTGATCTAACTTCTGGTTCCTTAAAATATATATTTTCATGAACATTACAAAAAGTAGATACAAATTATTAAAAACTATATCATATAGTACTCACGAAGGAGGTATTCCCCCGACGAAAACGTCGGAGTTGGTATTGAATTTGCCAAACGCAAACTCTTTACCCCTCGAGGTTTTGCTTTGTGTGATGCCGTCCACTGCGAGATTGGTGTGTTCATCCCGGCGAGCCACCTACATAATAAAAAAATGATTATCTATACTAATATTATAAAAAGGGAAAGTTTGTGAGTTTGTGAATTGTGAGTTTTTGACGTTGTAGGGGGTAATCTCTGGATCTACTGAACCGATTTAGATGAAATTTGGTAAGAAGATAGTTTGAGACCCTGGGAAGGATATAGGATACTTTTTATCCCGGAAATCATCACATAAGAGGGTGAAAATGAGGATGAAGGTATATATGGGAATCAAATTGAAAGTATAAATGCGAAAGTTTGTATGTTTTTTTTGTATTTGGTGAAATTGAGTATTTAGATAGACTATGGTTTGGAATAACACGTATGCTACTGATAGACAGTGGCACTGTTACATTAATTATTACAAGTAATTAATTAAATTAAACTAAAATATTTTAACCCTACAAAACATATACAAAAGTTTGAGAAAGGGTGATAAAGTTTGTAAGGAAAATAATACTAAAGAGCTATTCAGGGCCGTTTTAGGGTGATTAAAAATCTATCTATATACAGATACTCTACTAGCATTACCCGCATCTTCACCCGCGTTCAAGATTTCAATCACTACCAAACTTCACAGGATCACCCGCTGGGCTAATCTGAAGATTGCTTGAAAATTTCATCAAAACCGCTCCAGCCGTTTTTAAATCCATAAGGAACATACATACACATAGATTTTAATTGATAAAGATTTCTGAGTACTTTTATTAACCGCAGGTGTATTATTTGTGTAGCTTCTGAAATAATCTATTACATCCTAGAAAATCATACTCTACAATTTTTGAAAATATTTGTTGTGATAAAGGAAATTTTAATATAATTAAACCTATTATTTTTGCCCCAAGCGACGATTCGTAAGGGTCGCGCCTGTCGTCGTCATGCACTAACTGGAGTACCGCGCACCCTCGAACAGAGCGTGAATTTATTTATTTATTTAAACTGAAATTTTCAAATACAACAAAATGTATGTACAAAAAATATATAATGATTTATGGATTGAAAATTTCCTCATAACAAGTTTTTTTTATATTATACTCAAGAATAAATTGAAAATTATAGTTTTAAAAACTAACAAAACACGCTTTTTTACGACTTTACATTTATTAATATAGGAAGTTTTGGCAGGAACCATTAAAAATTTCCACTACCCTCCTTGCTCCATCATTAGATTAGTTTGATGGTGTTTAATTTTTGTATTCTCCTTTAGATTTTACATACTTAAGTTTCATAACAATACGACAGTTAAATAGACTTCAAAGTTTTCAAACCAAACAAAAGTTGTTAAAAAGTTAAAACAAGAAATTAATAAAATTTTCCAATTTTCTACTCACCTGTACTTTATGCCAGTGTCCATCATTCAAATTGCTGCCCACGGTTATAATTTGGGCGCCCCCTCCCAAATTGTATCGCAACCTTAGCGCGCCGTTCACCAATTTCAACTCAAAAAAGTCGTAAGTGCCACCATCATCTGTGTATAATAGCAGACCATTCGGTTGGTCGGTTTTGAACTCAAGTTCTAATGTGCCGTTCAAACCGGCGTTCCACTTCCTAAATTGGGAGTATGGGTTCTGCTTATCGAGAACGAAGGCTAGGTTTCGGTTGAGCGTTAGAGAGAGAAGGCAGAAGAGGATGTAGCGCATCGTTCTGACGTGGACCGGCATGGCGAGCACGTCACCAAACAACTGATGACCTTTTACGTCTCATTTCTTGCGGTCCTGAAACAAAGTTTTAAAATCAGTTATCTCTATTACCAATTACAAGAAACGGAGGTAATGAATAAGAAAATTCAGTTGTGTGTATGTATGTACATAAGTTACAGAATATGACGCGATATATATTTAATACTGTATATGTAGAATCGATTTTCATTATTATTTATTTAATGAACAGGTATAATCTAATCATTAAACTAATATGATCTAATATTTTATATTACAACAAATATGCAGCACTGAGAGTGAAATAAGTCACTTTCTATATAATTTTGAAGTCAACACTTCTTTATAGTTAAAAAGATAATTGTTAACTATATTAATTCGACAACTGAAATGAAATCTAGCATACTTTAAACGCTCATATCCATACTTAATATTATTAATGTGAAAGTGTGTTTGTTTGTTTGTCCTCCTTTCACGTTAAAACGGATTGACGGATTTTCGTGATTTTTTGTGTGGAGATAGTTGGAGGGCTGGAGAGTGACAGAGGCTACTTTTGACTGCAGAAGTTTATCTCAATTCTACGGGAAAACACGTTAAAATACTACCCAAAAAATGTTTATGATCAGAATTACTTGAAACTTGGTATTAATGCTCTTCAATACAATTAAATAAGGACGTGTTTTTCGAAATTAATCACATTAGGAGATAAAATAGGGGATGAGTTTTAGAGCGAGCGAAGCCGCGGGTTCTGCTAGTTTTTCTTTAAAAAAATGTTCCTTTAAGGTCGGCTGAACTACTCTAGAACCGGTTAAAAAAGCTGTTTATTTCGGTAATGTAATGATTAATTCAATACCCGTTCTTTAACCGGTTAATGAAAACGAACAGTTAGTAAGCCGAAATAATTATGGTTAACGGTTATTTGGGTTTTGGTGTTGGCACTGAAATAAGCCGGTTAATTCACTCATAAGTAAGAAACGTACATGTATCCTTCTACTAAGCCATTCACCATTAGCAAAGACGTGCCAAATGTAAACGCACAACCGATTAATTTTTGGCATGGAACCTAAATTCGTCAAAAACCGTTCTCCCAGGTTAAACCGGTTCAAGAACCGAACCCTTAAGCCGAAAATCCTTTCAGTATGGGGGCAATGACCAAAACCGGCTTAAAAATTGAACGGGTTTCCGAGCCCTTTCTAGTACAACAGAAAAGAAAACATCTAAAACTTTAGATATTCCATATAAATCTGGAAATAAATTTATTATATCCCTAACCCAAATATAAAAACAACTACACTTATATGCATAGATTTTCTTTGCTCATATTTAATAACATCAAGTAAAAATATTGTTTACTTTCAAACTATAAAACACTTCTCATACTTAATGGCACTTATCTATTGTCAAAAGAATTCTTAATTAAGACAACTGGCAAATGTAGAGATCATTTAAAAAACTTTTCCAATTAATGCATAACAATACTCGAGTCAAAGACGAAAAACATCAGACTATAAGTAAGCAAGAAGCAATATTTCTTGCCAGAACTATATTGCAGGTAAAAGGCACTTAAAAGAACAAAGCGTCTACCGATGTGAAGAAACTAGGCCGTCTGTGGAGAGACTAATCAGTAGAGAAAACAAAAGGATGGCAAAATGCAAGTTTGGGATGCTTCACATATACATATGTATACATAATACAAAGTCTTTACAATATTTAATATTTATGGCTAGCGATGGTTTGTTTTAATGCCATGGAAAGGGCCATATGCTTCCAATATCGGGTACCATCTATTTAAGAATTACTAAAAGATTCTCTAATGTATTATAGGTGGTAACTTATAAATAAATATGTTGAGACATTGAGAACAGCACCATCTAATTCCACGGTAAACTACGAGGTTCGTGTTATGGATACCAGACAGTTGATATACTACACATATATAATTTTAGATACATACATATTATAAATAATTAAACATAAGCACCCATGACTGGAGTACATTCATCACACAAATGAAAACCCCCAGAGGGACTCAACCCGCGACCGTTGGCACAGCAAATAAAAATCACTACAAACTGAGCAAAACGTTTTATCAACTTATGTAGATTAACAATAGGTATATGTTTATTTTTTTATGGTTACTAATACGATATATAATTAAAACAATTATATTATGTCCCGTACTATTGAACATCTTTACATAGTTTTAAGACGCTCATCGAAACTGCAATCAGTAGTTTTTGCCGAAAGTTAGTATGTTTTGTGTACGTTTGTTACGACTACACCCTAAAATAGCTAAAGGAATTTGGATTAAATTTAGTACACTGATAAGTATGATCTGAAATCATGTCAGCAACAGAATTTATCGTACTATATAAGGTGTAGTCGAAAGTTTTGTAACAAGTCGGAAAAGGCACCCAGGAACCCAAGTAGAGCGAAGGTAAGTCACTAGTGCCAAAATGTAATCTAATAGAAAATCTGTTCATGCGATAAGAAGTTGTAAAAACCCCTCCATTTTACTGTAAAGACGCTTAAGCAAACAAAGCTACTAATGTAAAGAACAAAGACGGTCTACTCCGGAAGACTTTGAACGCAAATAAAAATAGCAAATAAAATAAGAGTAAGAATTTTATGAAATTTACTTTACAATGCTCTTTTAAATGTTTTCAGTATTAATCCGTTCCTTTATTTCACTTTCGACTGTCTGTCTGTTTGTTTAATACGTATGTATTATACCTAAAAGGCAAAATTAGTTTTTGATTCGTATAAGTCTCTGTTGATCTCTTTTATGGTATAGATTAGACAATACAAGGTTCTCGCAAAAATAAAACTAAAAGGCAAAATATATTATCATCCCTTATTTCAAATAAGGGATGATATATGGGAAAATCATCATTTCTTAAGTTCAAACCTCGAAGGGCTCGAGACATAGGTATGCTTATGATTACCTACGAACGAACTTGACGCATCCAATCAATCCTATAATACCCAATAGTGAATATCAAACACGATAATTAAATCAATACAGTAAGCTATTTAATCAACAGAATTCCTCACGCCATTGTAAATCTATCAGGCAATACATTTCATCCTCTTATTACGAAATTGAGAACAGAAAGAAACTTGGCACTATTCACCGCTAACTTGTTTTTCTCAATCGCTCTTCGATTTCACGAACAATTCATGAAGGAAAGTTCGTCTCTCGTGAAACTTTGTTTTTAATTTCTCAAGCGCTAAATAGTTTATTGTATTGGATGGATATATTAATATATGTATGTAGAATTCTTATTAGCCTTTGCGGTTTCTGTTTAAAAAGTAAATAAAAGAGAGCAGCATATTAAATAAGGTTATAAAAAGGATATAATAATAATTAAATAAATATGTTAGTACATTAACACACAGCACCATCTAGCTCCATGGTAAGCTACACGAGGCTTGTGTTATGGATATCAGATAGTTGATCCACTACACATACGAGTAGGTATATAACTTTAAATACATAAATATTGTAAATAACCCTTGACTGGGGCACAAACATTCGTGCTCATCACACAAATAAATGCACCCAGCGAAACTCGAACCCGCGACCGCTGGCACAGCAAGTAGGGCTTAAAGTGAGAACAGTGAATGTCGTAGTAGTAATATTAATCGAAATATTGCTTTTCTCTTGTTTTTCTATTAAAATATGTACCGTCTTTTTTATATTTGAAAAATATTGTTTAGTCTTATCAATAACAATAACAAAATAGTCTTCATCAAACACATTAACTGATGTACCAATCTGTAACTAATATAACAAAAAATAGATCTAGGAAAATGTGAAATTTTTCTATCGCAAAACGTGCTCATTTCTCACGGTCGAGACATAAAGGGTCTAGTTATGAATAAACTAGAATCAATGGCGCAAAAATAATGAACGATTCGATGTGAATGTTCTAGCCTTCAGTAAATCAATATGTTATCATTGTTATAATATAGGGAAGTATTTATACTTCTTTTATTTATTAATAAATATGTGTATGGCAGTGATAGCCCAGTGGTAACGCGCTCGCTTGGGAAACTAAATAAAGCGGGTTCTAATCATTGTGAGGAATTCTGCATGTCTTAGAGAACCTTACAAGTTTTCGAAAGATATATAGGTGATGTCTATAAACACTTGACCAGCGTGGTGGATTGTGGCCTGATCCTCCTTGCATTGAAGGGAGGCCAATGCTCAATAGTGGAATATTGAAAAAGGGCTGATTGAGAAGTATATGCTGTTATACAATAGACTAGCATTGCCCGCAGCTCCGCCCGCGTTCAGATGACCAAAAACCAAATTCTTAGTATACTCTTTTTGCAGTTTTTGTATTTTTTCTCAAAAATGAGCGCGGTAAAAAGTATCATATAAGTTGACCCGGATAACCAACTATCACCATACCAAATTTCATCAAAATCCCTCCAGTGGTTTTTCTGTGATGCGGTAACTGATAGAATCACGTCAGAACGGCTGAACGGATTTGGATGAAATTTAGCACAGAGATAGATTATAGTCTGGAATAGCACATAGGTTACTTTTTATCCCGGAAAATGTACGGTTCCCGTGGGATACATTTATTTTTGTTTTTCACTATAGACGAACCTGAGCGAAGCGAGTGTGAGTAGCTAGTATTTCATAATTAACTTTTTACCTATTAAAAGTGCATCTCTTACTGATGCACATTATCTTATAGACAGAGCATTGAATATCCAAAAATCCTTTCTGAGTACCAACTTTCGTTAAGTCTAAAATTCATGATTCTAATAATAACATAATCATTTTCATTCAACATCAAGTGATAGGATTCCCAAGGAGGGTTGACGTCAGACAGGCGGCCGGTCGTAAAACTTTTGCCAAATCCTATCAGCAGTACAGAAGATGTACTGCGCCGACGCCAAGTGTTTGGGAAATGGGCAGGAAGAAGAAGAAGTGGTAGGAATTCATACTAATAATATAAATACGAGAATGTACTTATCGGTTTTCCTTT